GAAAGAAGCTTCCGTCCACCAGAATATCGCTCTAGCTCATTCTCGCTTTTTACTGGGAATGAAAGGTTAAGAAAAGTATTAAAGATCAGTGGAAAAAGAAAGATGCATGCTGTTGGAGCTCTGATTGTATCTTAGAAGCTAATGTGACCCAGTGTTCATTTCTGTACCAGCTTTTCTTCTTTCTATCCCATGCCTGGCACAGAGTGAGCATTCAATAAATGTGTTGTTGCTTGAATGACCTTCAGTCCTACTCTTTGCCTCTCTGACTCAACACAAACAGAAAACAGATGCCTCATTCTTTCTATAGAATGGGGATTTTGATTGGTTTTTCTTTGGTCTGGCACAATCATTATTTTCAAATATATTTAGTTTATTTCAACATTTATTAAATGCCAGATATTTACAACACATCAGTGGACATTCAAAACTGAATGCAAGCTAGCCCCTGCCCTTGAGAAATTCAATCTTGGAGAAAGGAAGGGGCATTGCAAAAATAAGTGTTACAGAAGAAAGGGGGTGATAATTTTCACAGAAAAGCCCTAAACAGGAAGAAATTATTTCTAGCAACAGGATCAACAATAGCTCAGGATCTGACTATGGTTGTTTTATTTCTATTTGCATATTGCTTTATATTACAGAGAGATTTTCAAGTTCATGCTGTCATTCTTTCCTAATAAACACAAATAAATCAACAAAACAGCATGATCTTCATTTTACAGATAGTAACATGGATTCTTAGTAAATATTTCAGCTGATTCAAAATCATAAAACTAAGAACCTAAAGCAGAACTGAGTCTATAGTTAAAATTTCTCCCATTATATCAAGTTGCACTCTTTTCTAGAACAGTAAGGCTTAACATCTGGCTATTACAGCTCTTATTTCTTATAAATTTAAATCTATTTACTATACGTGGAAGTTAACTTCCTTCTGTCTCATTCTGGTTTTGTTTCTAATGAGTTTATCTCTCATAATTAGGATAACGCACTTAGTTTCCATTTGTCCTTATTTAAACATTTTGTTCTTGTTCAAATAAAATTAATTTTGTTCTAATCATAGCTAATGCATGCCTATTGCTGAAAAGAATAAAAATAAGAAAATATTGAATATCTAAAGAAAGCCATTGTCAAAATGCTTCCTATTTACTGAGAGTTATTATTGATAAAATAAATTTTATTATTATAACAATTCATCTTGATGTCCTGCCGAGATTTCTGTTCTTTGCTTATGCTCATTCTCACCTCACTGGCATTTGTACATTGGATTGACCCCTTTTAGATTTATGTTATCATCCAGTGATCAACCATGGGGCACTAATAGTTAGGTCTTCCTTTTAAAAGTTAGCATTAGCATTTATGGTTTTCTTTCCAGGGCTCTAGAGCTCCTCATTTCTTTGTACTGTGCTCTAGGTAACCTCAGTATCCTTAATCACCTCCTAGCTTGTACCACTACACTGACGTCCTTGCATAAATATGAAAAGTTCAAGTATCTCACTATTGACACATGACACATTTCCCTTCAGTACCAGCTTTGCCTGCCCCATACCTCCCACCTTTGCATTATCACATATGTTTGCTTACACTCACTTGAGTTTCCACAGAATTGCCCGGATCCCCTGCTAGCAAGTCACCTGGCACCTTTTTCTCCGTTTGCACTCCTCTGCCTGGTGCACAAATTCCATGCTCGCTCTTCTGTTTAGAAGAATGAGTCATCTCACCTCCAGCCTCTTTCTTGGCCTCAAGTCGTCTTTTCTATTACAGATACATGGCCAGGCTGTATGTATGTATGTGTGTGTGTATATATATATATCTTCTTCTGTGTAATGCACCCCACAGAGAATACTTCACTCAAATGTTCATCATTTTTTTCTTCTGGAACTAGGGCATTTGTTCAGTGTTCACCATTGTAGGCAGACACTTGATGCAGAATTTAAAAAAAAAAAAAAGACAATGAGAAACAATGACAAGTCCAACCAGCCAATCAGTGTAGCATTCCTTCTTTCTGCACACAATCATCTCCAGCTGTAGGCCCTTTATCTTGAGAGTTCATAGGATAATGCACACACATAATTAACCCAAACAAACCCACTTTTGTAAAAACCATTTTGAGGACTTCAGCACAAAAGTACACTTTTTGGGCCAGATCCCATACTATTCTGAATTTTTTTTAAAGTCCACACAGAAGCCTCATCAGCAGCATCCTAATTAAACTCATCAGTTCACAGATGTTTACAGGAAAATGATCAGCAAAAATTTTCACCAAGAAATCCTGTTTCCTGAGAAGAGAGATGGAAGATGACAATGGGTATAGTGATGAGAACTAATATTAATAAATACTGTGATGTGCCTGCCACTTTACATAGGTCAACACATTTAAATCAATAACCTCTTGAGGCAGCGACTGTTATCTTTCCTACTTTATAGATGTCACAACTGTGGCTTAGAAGGTTAACTAGGATTCCAAAGTCACAGGGCAAGGAAGCACCATGGCCAAAGTTCAAATGTCACTCTGGGTGACACAAAACGTGTGCTCTTAAATACTACGACCTGCTGCCAAGACCATAGCACTGCCTGACCCATGACTACAATCTTTGTAAATGTCTCGTTTCTTCAGTCACCAAACAGAAGCCTCAGAATTACCACTAAGTGCCACTATTATGTCCTCTAATATCCTCTCTTTTCCTACTTTTAACCCTCACCCTTTCTTTAATGTGTACATTCTAGTCTCAAAATTTTCCTAGACAGTCTGCTAGCAAAACCTCTCTCTCTCTGAAAATACACTTAAAGGTTATATTTTCTGGATTTCTTTCCTACTACATTAAAAATGACAAAAAAAGTGCAATTTATGAAGCATTGACCACATTTCTCTTTCACAGATAATCTAAGGAGCTGTGTACTTTCTACACTCTGGGAAGACAGACAGTGAGCCCTTTCAGAAACAGAGCGCTAGCGACAACTAACAACTTAATCCCGTTAACTTCTAGCCTTCAGGGTCTTTTTCTATCAGTTTGACCTCCCCTGTATGTTATGCTACCGTATTCTGTTTCTCTTCTCTTTTTTTCAGTGTACATGTTTCCACAGTCACAGCTTCCAGAGCTTCCTTAAGCCACTGGGTTTTTTGAGAGAAAACACCTCATCTTCTTAAGTATTTCAAACTATTCTACATGGTCATTGCTTGTGAACTGTCATTGTTCAGGCACAACTGCTACTGCCTTAACATGAATGATTAATCAACTACATAAGGAGGGCTTTGAAAGGACAGTGAGATATACTAAGCTACTTTCCACTTTACTGATTTATTTTTTGGCCCGTGTCACTTTTAGGATGATGAATATACTGTACCCACTGTGTTAGGCAGGGAGTAGAAATGATTCTTCAGGCTTTTCTGATACTTTGGAATCTATGTTACTTTTACACAGAAACCTGGAAGGAGACCTGCTCTCATAAAGGGAGAGAGAAAAGATGATGTAAGCCCTAGATTTAAAATGAGTTAGCTCTCAAGGACAGTCTCACTTTTCACCTTTCAGGGGGTCTGTAACCCAGTTTACAGCTTTGCCATTTGAAGGTTGTGTGATACCTTTAAGTTCAACTCTCTAAGCATCCGTATTTTTCATCCTTACAGTGGACCTAACAGTGTCTCCCTCAGGGAGGTGTGGAGAAGATAAATGATATGATTTATGTCACAATACATGACACCACTTCCCTAAATACATGATATATTAAGATAAATAGTTCTATTGTTTTTATTTCTCTTTTATTAAGGACTGCAATAATATGCAACCATGTACCCCATACCTATGGTCCCTCTACCTGATCCCTTTCTGCATGGGCCTGTTCACCCATTCATTCACCCCACAAACAAGTGTGTCCTGTTAAAATGTGGGTTCCCTGAGAACAGGGGCCTTGCTTATCTGGAAGAAGCTGGACAGATGCGGATTAAGAGTCAGCTCTCTGGAACCAAACTTCCTGCCTTTGAATTTTGCCTTGACCATTGACTACTTAGTGGCTTTGGGCAAGTTTCTCAGCCTCTTGGACACACACTTCTCTCACCTATAAAATGCTATCTCATGGCTCTCTTATAGGTTATTGTAAGGTTTGACTATATTAATATGTATAAGATATTTTAGAACGTTGCCTTGGTTTTTCTTTTGGCAGTACTAGGGACCGGCCTTGGGGCCTTCACAGTGAGCTATATTCCCAGCCATTTCTTAAAATGTTATATTTCAAGATGGGATCTCATTAATGTTGCTATTATGCACAGGCTGGGCTTGAACATGTGACCTTCCTGTCTCTGTCAGAGTTCTGGGGTTATAGTTATAGACCATGAAACCAAGCAGTGCTTAGCATTTAATGCAGCTCTATTAGTGCCTGTAATGATTCTGGTTATCACGCATTTATTGTAGCATTATTTATATTAACAAAAAATTATAAAAAAACTAAACATACATTACTAAGAGATTAATTAAATCACTGTCATAGTCATATAACAAATGTTCTATGAAAAACAGAAGTCACACTTGAATAATATTAATGTTATGAACAAATAATCACTCTATATTTAAAAAATAGATTCCAAAATAATGTGTATAATATGGTCACAGTAGCTTAAATAAATATAGGATAAATATTATGAATGACTTTTATTTTCTTTGATCTTTTTTCCATTTTCTTCAGTGTATCACTTGTTTTAATCACCAAAAACTATAGCATAATAAGAGAGACATTTGATCTCTTTTTTCTACAGATACTATTCTGATATTCATTCTAACATATCAGTTCCCCATCCACAAAGGCAGAAACAACATTTCTATATAGTACCCATGACTACATTATCTGCTTTCGGCAATGCTTAATTCACCTATTCTATCCAAGTATGATATAAATACTTAACTAATTTTTGCAATTTTATCTTTAAATGACATTATAATCGCAGATAGCTTCCCATTTGAAATTTCTCTTCAGGTGCATAGGTTTAACTCTAATATGGATTTTCCTCCTTTCAGGTAAACAACTACAGTTTAGAAGAAGTAACACATGAAGAGGCTGTAGCAATATTGAAGAACACATCTGATGTAGTTTATCTAAAAGTTGGCAAACCCACTACCATTTATATGACTGATCCTTATGGTCCACCTGATATTACTCACTGTAAGTACCACACTTTGTGTCATCTTTGAACATGGCCAAAGTTGGAGTTCTACAAAATGATCTTCAGAGTCCTCTGCTTACTCCCTCACTCCTGTGTAGCTTCTGGAAATACTTGAGAGTATTCCATACTTCATCCCCCTGTTCCTTTTTGGCACCTTACCTGGTGGGAACCTCAGTGAGTTGGCAGATCCACCATTACAGAATGGCTTAATGATATTTATTGTGGAAGGGCGGTTGCAATAGTGTAGGGGCAACACATTTCACAAGACTATTTCCCAAGCCCCAAGTATTCTCTTTTCCTAGTTCAGACCTATACAGTAGCAGAATGAAAAAGAGATGCTGACAAAATAAACCAGAGAGCTCTGCGTTTATTCCTGAGCATGGTCTGTTGTACTTACCAGGGAACTTGTGATCCTCAATCATCATCATAGCTTTTCCCTTTACCTAAACTTTACATTACTGGAAAACAAGAAAAAATAATTGGTCACTATGAGGATAGAGGTGGGCAGAGGGAGAGGGCTCTAAATCAACAAGAAACATGAGATGATGTGCTGGGGTCCTCACATAATCCAAGATGAATGTATTCATGATCATAAAACTTTGGCCCCATAAGCCTCATATTTTCTAACCTGCTAAAAAGTCAACAAGAAACATTTCTGAGGTTTTGTCATTGGGCACTAAATTTTAAAACTATTCACTTCATATGTAAATGTAATGAATGCTTTATTGTCATAAGCTCACTCATTTTGAAATTGTGAGAGTCCATTGTGAGTCTAGGAGCTCAGGATATCATCAGGCCCTGCTGCTAATTACTACTATGGTCTAAAGCAAGTTGTTTGACCTCTCTTAGATTGAAATGTTTCTCCTGAGAAAAATTTAAGGGTTGAATAATTTTGTTACCCACCATTACATTAGCTATTACTTTTCTTAATAATGATTCTGAAATTACTTGCCCCCAAAATCAATGACACTATCTCTATCTCTAGACAGCAAACTGAGATTAGTCTTACCTTAACAAAGGAATTTTAACTTTCAGATTTTTACAAAATGGATAAATTTTGAGAATTCAACCCTAAGTGTCTGAATCGCCTCATGAAGGGCATATAAGGTTAATGTGAAAGAGAGAAAAGTTAGAAAACAAAACTTTCTAATCAGTTCAAGAAATATGTGTTGGGTCCATTAATATGTATGTGATGCCTTGAAAGGTGGTGTTGTATGTTGTAGAAGGGACACCATCATGGCCTTTTTTCTAGGAGACTGGTTGAAAAGTAAGTTAATTTAGATACATAAATAGCTGCAGTATTTGGTAGAATAAGAGGTGTATCTGCAATAGGAAAGGTAAAAAACACATTGCCTTTAAGGACTCAAGGGAGAAAGAAAATCATCCACCTGGGTCTGATCAGAAAAATCTTTATGCAGAGGGTAGCATTTGACTTGTATCTTGATGAATTATGAGATTGCAACATCTGAGATAGGGAAAAAGAAATGAATTGTAGGTACTTCCAGCAGAACAAAGGTGCAGATATCGGGAAGTGCAAGTTTTGCTTGAGGATATAGGATATGAGTCAGGGAGATAATGAAATGGATCAGTTTTGTAAAAATGATAAGGGGGTTGATACTACATTCAATATAAAAAATGTTAAAAGGAGAATGTTTACACAAAAGCACAACATTATTAAAGCTGTATTTTAGGAGAATTTAATTTATAATGCTCTGGAGGAAAGAGTGAAGTCAGGAGACCAGTAAGATAGTGTGTTCACTTGCTTGAAAAGGTGATGAATTAAGGAAAAGGAATAGAAAGAAAGGCCAATTTTATCCTTTCTATAATGACAGTATAGTGCAGCTGGAGAGAAAATCCTACATAAGAACTTATTCCTCAGGAGGCTTTTATTTTTGATGATTGACTATTAATTATGTAAAAAGAATGTGAGCTCTGCAACTACAAAGTTAACATTCTTATTTCAGTGGAAAATTAATCATTATTCAGAAAATGTATGTGCTGGGTCTTTTCTCCAATTCTTCTGTTCACCTAATTATACTAACTGGGCTTTATTGCAGCTTTCCTATCCTAATGGTCATGATGTGCTTATATATAGGAAATGTAACAAACAGCAACCACCACCTCCTGCAGGACAGGAAAATCCTTGGCATGTAGCAAAGCCCTTCTATGTTTAGCCTATCCTCTAAAGTATATCATGGCAAGTTGAATCACCCGCATAACAGGCTTCTTTCCATTTCTTTATTTTCCCCACCCCATAGCTTATTCTCCACCAATGGAAAACCATCTACTCTCTGGCAACAGTGGCACTTTAGAATACAAAACCTCCCTGCCACCTATCTCTCCGGGAAGGTACTCGCCAATCCCAAAGCACATGCTTGTTGAAGATGACTACACCAGGTCAGCTATGCTTCTTGATTAATCGGGTTTGAGGTCATTACCAGGAAAGGTCACATTTGCCTAACATGTCAGCTGTTACTTTGGGGACTTACAAAAATTTCTAAATCTGTTTCAAATTTATTATAGTCTTGCCTCAAGTGGAAATCTGCAAATATTTGTAAATATCTGTTGTTATGAATATCTGTTATTCCCCTCTATTAGGAAGTAAAATCATACTGTCTCTAGTGTACTAACTATCAAGGGGTACTCAAAAATGTGTTTAAATTTTTTAAATCTTTTTACAGTAAAAGACACGTTGTTATCCCCCCAAATATTCAAAATCCCCCTTACTTTGAACACACATCATTCTTGGCAATGTGTTTTTATTATAATACATTTTTAAAAATTTAACCATTCACTATATTTTTGATTACCCTCATGGATCAGCCATTTATAGCAATTCCTATCAAATGAAAACATAATGTGGGTCCTGTCCACCTTATTCAGTAGATCTGCAACTATGAGACTGGTTACTCTCCTCCTAGGTCAAAGTGACCATGAAAAGTAAATAGTTTGAATCCATTCAGGACACAGAAAAAGTAAGGACAGCACAACAGAAAATGCTGATGTAAGAGGACTTCCAGAACTGCTTTAGAAAGTGGCAAAAACAATAGGATACTATGTTTGAATTGAGGGAGAGTACTTTGAGGGAGATTAATGTCAATGTGGTTTTTACTGTAATAGATTACTTTTTAATTTAAACATTCACCATATTCTTTGATCACAGCTGGTAAGTGAGAAGGAAAAGATCAAAATTAACTAGAAGTGGTTTGAAATTAATAAACCCTGTTAATTCCAAATGCAAATAGGGTCAGATTATGAGAGCAGAGAATTACATTACCAACCCCACAAGAAGAGCCAAATGTATACAGCAGTCTTCTGAAAAAGCCAGATTTGACAGTCCACAGAGAAGACCAACATAGCTCATTTAAATGGCCTCCATGAAGATTCAAGAAATGTTGAATGATTAATATATTAATGAATAAATGAGTAAATGAATGAGAAATTTATATTTTTCTTTATAATTTTAATGATTTTGTTTCAAAGTAATATATACTGTACTCAAAGGAATATATGCTTAATATATTTGCCAAAGAAATGCAAAGATGTTTAAGAAACAAAAATCTCCCTCCAAAGGGCTCGAGTTTGAGGTACCCCACATGACAGCCCACCATGTCATACCCTTTCCATGCCCAGAAACACCTGCACAAATGTATGCTCAGAGAAAGGCAGGGCTTGACATTGAATTTACAAACTTAATTTCATATTTTACACATTGCTCTACTATTTGATTTTCTCCTTAAATAAATACTTTTACCAAAACTGAGATTAAATATAGATATGTACATTTATTTCTGTATGTTTTTGTTTGTTGAAAAAGTGATAAAGATGGATTATTTGGGCTCTACATCCTGCCTTTGTAATTGAAGCCATTTGTCAGCCTTTTAAAAAGTAAAGACTTCCTGCTGGGACGTGTACATTCTTTGGCCTTTCTGGTCTTCCGTATATCTTTTTAAATGATTGAGCATTTTCCATTTATATTCTAATATCAGGTTTGCTGAAGTAGCTTGTTATATATTTAGCCAAGAAATGGAACATTTGGAAGCTGAACATATGCATCTGTGGTGTAAATCAAATATAAATTTCCTCCTGTGCGGAAGTGTCTGATCTTTATGCTCTCAATTAAAATGAGGGCTGCGGCAAAGATAATCCTCATGGCTCTATAAAGAATTGTGTAAATATGGTCACCTTTATCTACCAGAGCAATGATCTATTTGTTCTTGCCCTGTTGCTAATATTTGAAGATTTTAATTTGAAAAATTCATTTTCTCTTAGTAGGCTCCATAACAAATTAGCAGTTATTAAAGCCTCTTCATAATCAAGACCCTTTGTTATCTGTTTAAAATACACACTCTATTTAATCCTCCCAAAGCACAGAAAGAAAGTTTTTCATTACCATTGCAGATATGTAGAAATGAAAGTTCAAAGAGGTTGAGGAAATAGTTTTTAAGTATAAAATCTGAGTTGCCCCTACAGCTTTAAAATCCTGACTAGGAAGAAATATTTAAATTTTCTCCATACTTTCAGCTGCAAATCAAGTCCTATAACACTGTGCTTCTCGCAGAAATAATGTGGCTTTTGAAGGGATCTGAGAGTTTTGATGAGCTCTGCAGACAGCTAGACCAGTCTGGGGCCCTGCCTCCATCTCTGGCTTCATGGCCCTGGGCAAATTGTTTGGTCTCTGCAAGCCTCAATTTCCTCATCTGCACAAGGAAATAGCAATCAAATCTATCTCAACAAGTTGTTATAATGGTTAAAGGCGATAATTAATCAAAAAAACTTAGGATAGTATCTGATCCATAATAAACACAATGAATATTATATACTTACAGTACCTAGAATTAGCATAATTCCTCATTCAATTCAGAGATCACGTAGACTGTTCTTACAGATGATATCCTGGGAAAAGAATGAACTCCTGCCTAGACTGAATATACCCTTCCTTCTTCCTTCCCGTCTCTGATCCACCTCTGCTCCTCTGCAGGACAGTTTCACTGATAATTCTGTGTAAAATCTTCTGAGTGGTTGTTGTCTGGTAAACTTCTGAAGTAAATTAAAGCAGTACACACACGTACAACACCCTTCTCACCACACTCTGACCATTTCTGGTGTCCTCTCATATGTGCATGTACTATAGGCTTTACTGTAGGGCTCAGAGGTATTTGATGATATTAATTAAATATGTCCTCCTAAGCAAGGGGCAGTGCATTAGAAATGGAGGACTGAAAAATAGCATCCAAGTACTACTAAAGCAAGCATAGCAAACATAGGTAAATCAAACATATGTAAACCAGTGGGTCACCAGTGCCTATTCCCTGGTTATGCAGACCCTGCTTCTCCATGAAGTTTTCCATAAAACCTAGTTTATTGACTGTTTCAAAATATTGAGATTATATATTCTGAGGCCAAAATATCCTTTCTTTGTTAAAAATAAATAAATGGCCAATGCCAGTTATTTATTATGCCCTTACTTAGGAAATAAAAAGCTAGTAACTTTATGTCATTCCTAATTTTTTAAATGTCAAAGGTCTTCTGAATAAAATTCAAAAGTCTAGGAACAGAAATAAACAAAACTAGCTTACTTCTATGAAATGCCATCTTGTCACTGTCACAGAGTTACCTAACCCCATAAGAGGCACTTAGGAATATTTATTGAGCTTTAATTTTACATGGATGCCACGGGAACAGCTTATGATATTGAAGGAAGCTTTAAAGAAGAAATGACTCTTGTATCTGAACTTCAAAACTGTATAAGCATAGGTCAGAGTCCATTGATCAGAAAAGTTATTTGTAGTAGGGGAATAGCTCCTTCAGGCACAAAAGAATGTGAAGTAAAATAAGATGAAAGCAAATGTTAAAGTTTGAAATATAAGACTCATAAAATAAAACTGTACCTACGCTTAAACTGCCTTTATATTCCTATACTTTCTCTCACAATGAACCTACCTGAAAGATTAAATATAAAAATAGCAAAAAATGAAAAGGTCACTACTCTGTATCATTAACACTGAGTACTTCCATGTATACCATTGCCTATATCTTATTGATTTTTGCAGATAGGAACAGTAAAGAAGTTAGAAAATAGGGGCTGGGGATTTAGCTCAGCGGCAAAAGCGCCTGCCTGGCAAGCGCAAGGTCTTGAGTTCGGTTCCCGGTACCGGAGAAAAACCAAAAAAAAAAAAAAGAAGTTAGAAAATTGCCCATATCATTATAGCAAGTAGCAGAATCAAAGTTAGAACTCAGATCTATCTGTCTTTAAAGGTCTCATCCCCTCATTCACACCCCTCATCTCATGCAGCCTGTTGCACAGAAGTGCTGAATAAATGGAGAAATGTTGAATAAAATAGACTGGGTTTGTGTCCCAGCCCCACTATCTACATGGCTAAGCAAGTCTCATAATTTCTACCAGTCTTGATTTTCTCATCTGTAGTTTTGGATAAAGGATCTTTTAATATCCTCAAGGCATTATAAGATTTTAATGTGATAATATGTGTAAACATTGTTTGTCATTTTTATAAGACTATATAAATTTATTAGCATCCTCAGTTATATAGTAGCCTATGTTTAAAGCCTACTTTGCATTCTCCTGCAATAATAAGTCAAGAAATGAATCTCTAATGATGAACCTTGGGCCATTAGGTTTCTTTTTCTCTAAACTGATATTCATTAGTTTGTTTGCTTGTTTGTTTGTTTGTTTGTTTTGGCCTGGAATAAGAAAGTAATAATTACAAACCACTACAATCAAAGATCACATGTGGACAGTGTCCACTTTACATATTACAACTATGGAATCCACCTTTACTCTATGAAATGGAAACTTTCTTACAACCTATAAAATTATATCAAATTGGAAACTTTTGTGTACAAGATCATACCTTCATCTGTTGAAAGAAGTGTTTCTCTATTTCTCTGACATATACTCACATTTTTATGACATATGGATATGTTGTAAAAGTTTTAAACAATTTTGATTAAAATAGTGCTCTAATGACTTACTTTATCTATTTCTCACTATTTAAAACATACTTTTCCATTGATGTGAAGAGGGTTCAGACAAAAATATTTGATAAATTTCTGTTAGTAGAATGCTTTCTGAGTTTCCCGTAAATCAGCATTCATTGTGATTGTAGATATTTGGTTTTCAATTTTTGGAAAGCATTGATACTGAGATCTTTTTTGGCTCAGGAATTATAGAGTATCAGAGTTAGAAGGGCTGTAAATAAATCTAGAGACTAATCTCCCTCTGATGGGCAAGGTGCATAATGCCCAGAATTTGTTAGTTTTTCCTAGTCCCAGTGTTAGTTTAGAACTTATGTTTTTGAGTACCCAAGATTCAGTATTCTTTCTGTTTTTCTCAACTAATGTTCATAATCTCTTATCTAGACTAAGAAAGTAGCAAT